AGTGGCTTTTCTTTGGCCTATAAACAAGTTGTGCAACTTCAGGGTTTTTACTTCACTTTTTTTATAAGAAAACTTACCTTGCAAGTGCTAAATCCCAGTTTGTGGACCTGTCTATGAGTTGTGGACTTCGAAATTCTCCTTCCAAGAGCGTCAGTCCACAGGTCACTTAATTGTAAATAATTGGCACCTCTGTTTTTCATTCTTTTTAATGCTCTTCGGTCGGCATTTGTGATATTACTTTTTTCACACATCGTGGCTTAATATTAACTGCATCAGTTACGTTATATCTTCTAGCAATATTTCTCACACTGTACCGCGATAAGTCCAACAAAGTTGCAATTTCTGAGTTTGATTTCCCAGAATTAAAAAAATTAATTATCAGTAACCGAATTTTCTCACTAATAACCTTTCCTCCACCCATTTTGAAAACATTTTCTACCCAAAACTATTTTAATCGTATTGTGACAGCTGTGATTAATAAAAACAATTGTCATGCGTTTTATTATTCACAGCCGCCTATGAGTTATAGACTTATTTTGCATTGAAATGAAAATAGGTTGATATGCTGTAATTGTTATTTTTATGCTGCAAATTTGATTAGGGAGTGATAAAGTTGGTGTTTTCTACTATATAATATCAAAATATCCATTGTTAATATTTTAAACCTATAACACCAAGCTACATTTTTATTATTTGTGTTTGATAAGAAAAATGCTAAGATTTCAATAGTTGGGCCAACTGAAGTGGGAAGGGGCTCTTACATTTCGATGCCATTCTATCATTCCGAGAGGTTAAGCGTATTTAATAAAAACCACCCTATGGCAGCGTCACATCCTTTAACAAAAAAATTCCCCAAAGCGTTCTCGAATTTCGAAATAATCATCCGAGTGGGGTTCGGATACGCCTTTTTATATTTATTCGCGTTGCGAAGATAAGGAACGTGAACATCAGATTTATCACAATACCTAGCGATTTGTTAAGAAAAAGTTTCGCAGTCGAATTCCAGACTTATATGTATACTGTCTCGCGAAAGATATCATCCTAGAAGAATAAAATTGAATTTCAGGCATACCTATTCAGGAATACTGTACAAAGCATGATAATGCAAGACCTTGTTTCTAACTAACCCGTTAAAATAAAAAAAATCAGATGCATAAGAACGGTGTAGTTGGTAATAATGCAAGTTATCCAGCAAGCTTGGGTGGTTCACTAGGATGAGTATCTAAAGCCTAGGTTAACAAACATTGTATACGCCCAATTTAATCTCTGTGTCAGGGACCTGGCAACAGGCCTGTGGGAAAAGTGGATTCAGTGAATTTTGCTGAATTTTTTATATTCATTCAGCTTGGCGACCTAAACTAACTTCTCTATGAGCACAGATCGCGAAGTGTGTCGAAGAGTGGTTTCGCTTAAATTAGCAGAATTTTTATGTTAGGTATATGCCGCGGCGGGCGTCCTGAACATCCGCCTGACTGGGCACAGGTCTAAAAGTCAACGGGTCCTCAGATAAATGCCGTTGGGACGCGTTCAGTTTTGTGGTCTGCGCTCATTAAGGCATTTATTCAGGACGCTGAAAATATAACAAATTTAGCGGAATTAACCGAAACCAATGTTTCATATGAAGCAGAAGGCCGAGTAGGACTGAGCGATACCCCAATATACTTAAATGACCTATATCTTGGGACCCTCTGAGTTTTGGGGTTTGCAACTTTTCAAACATGTGCTTAAAATGGCGAGATACATGTTCACACAAATTCGGAAGTATTAACTGAAACCACTCTTCTGGATAGAGCAGACAACTGAGCAAGACCCACACTCCATTATACCCACTTGGGTGGCGTATATTTTGGGGCCCGTTGAATTCTGTGGCCTATGCTCATTAAAGTGCTTGTTTAGTGTTCCGAGACAGACAACATATTAAATATTTAGCAAAATTAACCAAAATCACTCTTCCCAGAGGCGTGTTGCTGGGTCCTTTCAGTCTGAGATTGTTGTATCCCAACATTTTCGGTATACCACAAGTTTTAATTGTTTACGCCATAGAATGATTGAATATTTGAAAAAGTAGGAATGAGACTGCCTAAGCTCAACAATACACCGACGAGAAACGTAAGTATGTTTGGAGGAATTTTGTTTATACAACACTGGCGTAGCATGGTCTACTTGACACACGCATGCTACCGCTAAATCCGTGGTTCCTCGAATCAGACGATTGATAGAATTTGTATTCCTGGCCAGATATAGCCCTATCTGTAGAAATTACTCTTTACTAACGTTTCAGCCTCCCCGTCAGCAGTCAGGCACGTGTGAGGTTCTATCAGCACGAGGACCACATTATAAGCTTCATTTTTTGCATTGATCTACAGACTGACGGGAATGAGTTACTTAGATTTTTGTATCTTTGACCTTCCAAGTATGTATAACGTTTTCAACAGTACTCATTACTTATTGACGTACCTCTACGAATTGAGAAACTCTGTGAGACATCTTGATTTTGGCCTTCCAACTGATTACTTAGACAGAAAAATCAGTTTTGATGATGAGCGGCTTTTAAAGTTGCGATTAGTAGTCGGACCTCTAGTCTTGATCTCGTTTCAAACGGGTACCAATTGATCGACAGTCGAGTAAGAATATGTTCACTATAGTCGAATTATTTATCGACTCGACTCTATAGAATGTATTAGGCAGGCTCCAAGTTACCGAATACAATGTTTCTGCTGTTTCATTTGTTACGTCTTTATTACGTATATCTATCATTTTTTAAGAGAAAGTTGTTTATTTTTGTTAAAAGTACCATGCCTCCAATTGAACGGGAAATATTATAAAATATGCATTTCATTTTTTATTTTAATTACTGATAAGTATGAGATACTTGTTTAGGCATAAAAAAGCGCAGTTAAAAGCTAAAATTTTCTAACTATAATAAAAATATTTATAATTACAGTTACAAGGGGCATCACAAATGTAAAAGCATTATGAACTTAGCACTACAGTTACTACAATACAAGTACATAATTACACTACGTTTGATCACTAATTAGTCTAATTATCCATTGTTCGCTATGGCTGATCCAAAATGAATTGCTTTAATGCTTTTTAAAATGCCGACAAGTTGTTGAAATGTCATACATTCGACGGAAGGGTATTGTACAGCTTGGGAGCAATATGAACGCTGTTCAACACATGTGAGTTTTCGAAGCTCCTCCCCATGCTGCTATGCCATACCAGGACTCTCCACCGAAGCATGATGCAAGACTTCCATCTGTTGGGTTAATTGTAGCTCTTTCGTACATCGGAGCGTCGAGAGAACCATGAGCAGCTTATTACAGATGAAGCTTGCATGTTCGTCCCACCTCAGATGTTCATCAATAATGATGCCAAGATACTTAACACTTTGTTATGGTGCGATTGAATATTGCAACCCGTTTATACTGATGTTAATATGTCTGAACGATGGCTTATTACAACTATTACTGGTGAAAGTTTTTTTTCGCAGTTTATTGTTAGTAACATGAGTTGAAGCCATCACATTACATTTGGTAGGTTAGCATGTACGGTAGATTTCAGATCTTGCCAAGCATCTGCATTGTAAAATATAGCGATGTCGTCTGCGAATCCAAACATCTCTACTTTTGATCGAAACATCTAATTGATATTAATATATTTTCAATAAGTCGACGATTGCCCAGAGAATAGGTTTGCTTTCAACTACGGATCCTTGAGGTAACTGCTAAAATAGTCGTAGATACGAAATTTTATTTTGCAAGAAGGACGATAGTCTTTTCTTTAACAGTCTTTCCAATATTTTTGATAGGTGTGCTATGAGAGATATTGGTCTGTAGTTTACTGGTCATCTTGTTTTTTGCATGTAATACTGTCTCCTTAAAAGCTTTTGGTCAATGTCCCTCCGTCACACAAAAATTAAAAATGTATGTTAATGGTTCTGCAATATATTCGGAAACAAATTTTATGCTTTCAGCGCAAATGTCGCCTTATCCGTCCGATTTTTTTGATTTAAGTTATCTTATGATATATTTTACTTCGTCAATACTTGATGGAAGACGAACAAATGATTTTAGAGATATTTTTCTAGGCTGACGGCAATTACTGTCTCTATTTATCGTTTTAGCCATGTTTAGCCCTATTTCACTAAAGTCATCATCAAATTTGTTTGCTATTGTTTTTTGTCTGTAAGAACTTCTCCAGAATCAGTCTTCATAGCTTCTATATTTTCATTTTTCTTGTTATTTTGCAATATCTCTCTTACCACTTTCCAAAAAAAAATGTTTTTTTGAGTTAGTTACTGTTTGTTTTTGATAACAGTCACGTTTTCACCTAGAATGCAGAAAAATATCATGCTTGTTGGAAGATGACAATATATAAGGACATATGAGAATCCTTTCGCCTTGCTTGACAGGTGATTCCGAGAACTATTTCGTGTTAGTAAAATTCTGGCCAAAAAATTAATTACTTTGTTAAAACCACATGCAGCAGAAAGAGAAAATATGAGAGGAATCAAACATGGTGTTATGCTGTCCGATTCTATGCAACAGGCTAGTATTAAAGGTGTTTAGGAGAAGGATATAACCTTGATGTGGAACAGAATACTGTACGTACTGTATATAAGTCTCATAAAAGATATGCTTGTGATTTCTGTCACAGCTTTCGATGCAGTGCAATTCCTACATTTTAAAATTTTCAGGACACTTCAAACCGAATGTGGTTGTCTCGCATCACTTCTGTCAAAACTATTTCTTCATAATTAAACACTTGTCATAAGTAATCACCCGGATTGTTTGAATATACATCTGCGACGTATATTTGTTATTTACCAGTATGTTTGACGGTTGAATGTCGGTATGGTGAGTTTTTCCGTGGAGCAGTATATTCATTGAAACGTCGCTCTACCGTATGTGAGGGATATTTTTCAAATGCTCGAGTCCATTTTTCTCGAGTTCCGTTTTTACGTGTCAATCCGACGGAGGAGCGCTGAAATATATTTATCTGGGAATGCAACAAGACGTAACTGAGACGTTACAGGAGGAGGGGTTAAGAGGGGGAATAAGGATGCCGCTCTGCTGACTTTTTGTGCGTGTGCGTAAACACATTAATTCAAGGGACAGACCGACAGACAAGACATCGTAAAATTTATTACTTCTTTCGCTACTCCTTTCTATCTGGGGTTTCTTCCTTTGTAGAATATTAGCGTAGGTATTACTAGGACATTTCCGAAAAGAGATAGTCTTAATTGGATTCATATAGTGGCCTTGTAAATTAAGCTGAAAAAAATAAATAGAGCACATAACCCTAGTTCCTTCGTAGTTTGTGGTACCTAGCGAAAATCAACAAGAACACATTTTCTTTACAACTTCTATGCTGCCTGCTTCGGTACACAATGTTGCTACCTTAGGGCCACTTTCACCAACAACAGTTCGTTATTCTCCACCTATAGGGTAACAGTCCATCAAATACAGCGAATGAGCTTCAAGTTCCAATCAACAAATTTTAGCAATCAATAGCTATGAAATGTTGAAAACAAAATATTGTCAAAGTATGAGATGATATCTTGTCATTAAAACATCACCAGGTTATTGAATATCAAGAAATTACAGATAATTCAGTCAAAATTTAAACAACTGTTTGATTTTTGAATAAAATTCATGTTTTAATTACCATTGTTGATTTTTTATTCATGATAATATTATTTTCTTCAATTGATATGCGATCTACTAGGTGTTTTTTCCAATAAACCTGTTGCAGATAGCCATTAAGTACCTACTTGATGACTGGCTCTACCAAAAAGTTCATAGATATTGCTCGTTTCCAATCATTCATTTATTTACTTGCCGTTGATCAGAACCATTATGGCACCTTAGATTGATGTTCTCACAAAACCATTCTGGTTTTTTAATATCCATACATCCATAAAGTTCAATATTTTTCGTTGTTCAGGAACTTAACAAACATCCACACTATATTAACGATTAAGAAATACCCAAATATATGTCGTAGAGCTACCAGCAAACCTAAAACCTGCAGAAAAACTAGAAATGTGCAATATTTTTCTTTTTTCACTGAGTAGATATTCTGGGTTATATTTATATTAGAGGTTATTTGCATACAGCTGATTATTGCATTTCAAGGGGTGACACATGTGTGGGCTCTGTCAACTCTTGGTACCAGTCACAAATCATACTCACAGTGTTTGTGCACTGATTGCAACAGTTAGATGATACCAAAAATATTTCCATAAATAGGAAATCTTTCCCAGTCCGGATCGAACAATCTACCAAAGATGCTTATAATCATGATACCTAGTAAATTTTCACGAAAAAAATTCAAAACCAGCAAATGTAAAAGTTTCATTTCGCACCCTCCACTACGGGACGTGATCGTCGTTAGACTTGGCAACCCTGCGAGTGTCAGATAGATATCCCCGCCAGTCAAAAAAAATAGACAAACATTACTAGTTTTTTTGATTTTTGAACTTAACAGCCATTATCTGTGAAAGAGTTTTCATAATTTTTTGTCTATGTCCATAGTAATTGCATTATGCATCAGGGAGATGTAGGGATTGACACGTCTTACACATGTTATCTGTGTTTTATTTGCTTTGAATAAATGTATTATCCCATAAATTAATAAATGATCACTATTATGACATAAAGGTAGATGAAGAATTGGATGGAATGTATTTTATATTCTATTTTCTTGCAAAATACAGACAAATCCACATTATTCAACAGGTATGTAATGATAACTTTCAGTATATTGAAATTGGTAAATTTTAGAGTGCCATGCATTAAAAAACCTCCAAATCTGCTGCCAAATTTAACAGCTAGAAAATCGACCTATTATTTGCCGCATTCCCATTCGCTGAGGGGGATAACGGATTGTTAAATGTAAACCTATAACATATATCAAAATACATAAAGGTTGTCCTGTTTTTTCTGTACAAAAGCCTCATGTTGGAATCAAAAAGTGGTCTTGTTTATAATACAGTCGAATTTTCACGATTTTATTCAATATTTCAATAGAAATCACTAATATTCAGAGCCCTTTGACAGCTTTCGTCAAATTGCATTTCGATAAGGTATTTTCCCATTGGTCCATAATATTAATGTTGGTGAAATTGGCCCTTAGAGGATTATTTGATTGATGCTTGATAAATCAAAAGTCCAATGGGCGCCGAAGCAGGCAAGCATGCTAAGCGAATAAAAGGCAATCCAAAAATTGGTAATACGAAAAAAAATGGTGTCAATTAAGTTGAATTTACACTTCCTACGAAACGCTGTCATCAGATAATAAATCACATAAGTCAGCCTCTATGAGAAAAATGTTATCCCAATGCAAGTAAGTAATACGGCCTACAAAAATTAGTTTTCATTTTAAGGTTCCTGTTGATAGCGGTACAAAATAATCTTCAATATCACATATTTGATCAAGATTGTCAAAATGAGTAACCTCTTTAGCTGCCTGGTCTACTCGCTCATTGCCTTCTATTTCCCTCTCTCCTGCGGCCAGGCGAAAGGGACCCTTCAACCACGCCTAGAAAGTATAGATGCAAGACATTTGATGTGATATATCAAACAGTTATTAGTATGACTATAACTAACCAGTGATAAGAGCACGGATGTGGAGTCCGAAAGAATGGAAACATATTTATGACTTTCATTATCAATACACCTTTGAAGTGATGTTGAAAGTGCAGTGGGTTCTATGGTAAAATACTCATAGATACTATATCCATTTCCCTTACAACGAAAGCACTCCTGACTTAATCTAACATTCTTAATCCATCAAAAGAGATTGCGATATTGCTCATGACATCGTTCTAAATTTCGTCACTATCAGTTGGATGTAGGCGGGATTTTGATTTTTATTTTCTTTTTTGTCTTCGCCACTAGTGGATCGATTTTCAAAAACCATAAAGCTCGTTCGTCCTTGGCACAGTAGTAACCTTGTGTGGCAATTTATTCACAATCCACTCGTTACTTACTTTATCACGTAATAGAAGGGCCAAGAATAAGCGTTCACGCGGACAGACCGACTGCCCGATAGACAATACCCTCTCGCCAGTGGAATTGAAAATAAAAGTGCCTTAATGGAGTGGCCTATTAAAACCCCGCCAAAAGAAATCTTAGTTCAAAGAGTTAGTTGTACATTAAACGCTATAGATACCCCTCAAATGCCGCTTATTCAGACTTACAGTGCTCGCTGTGCTTCACTGTGACCTATCTTGGTCAATAAACTAAGCACAAATACTGCAATACTACACGAGCACAGCTAGAGAGGTGCTGCAGTCGCTAGAAGAAGAAACTACGAAATAACCCTTTTCATCCACCTGTCTCACTTAATACAGGTCCCAGTCTTTCTTGGAGTACTGCAAGGTATACCGTTTTCGTGTCTACGAAGGATTTGTACCGACTACGGAGTAGTAGTAAGGGGCGGGCAAAGCCTGGCAACTAAGCCACCTTTGACACTTTTGCCGACGCTGTAGTACCAACATTGTTCTACAACACAATACATACAAGCCATCTACTTTTAACTGATCATTATTAAACAAATGCCTCGTTTTGTACCGACTATACTGATGTCGCCATGGAGTATGAATTTGTACGAAAGCAATCTGCAGAATGTACCTTTTTGTTGGTGTTTAGCTACAAGTCTGATCCGCAGACTTGGTACAATCGTTAGAGGCACTTGAGACGGGATTTTCCTCCTACCAAATTGCAGTTGCGGAACTCGGCTACGGATTTCTAATGCCGCATGGTGCTGTCACTACTTTTTATGTTTGTCAAGAGCATTACTTCATAACCGAATTCGATAGGTAGAAATATTAATGTGTTTATCTATTACCTAATAAGTCAGCGTGAAACTATTAGCCGAATTCGGCCGACAGATTCGGCAAGCAGGAATCCTGCATATAGGTCGGATGATACAAATCTGCCTATCTGGGCCCTATTCCACAAAAATTATGGTGTGATAATTACTAGTTGATTTACTTTTAACTTGTACTTATATGAGATGTTGTGTTCCGTGTAACTTTCAAACACGATATACTAATACTACTCCATATTATATGTAGAAGTTACAAGACTATATTCGCAAGATGTTTATGTTCAACAAAATTACTGGTGGTAGTATTTTTCGTGTTATTTCAAATACCTTTGCTACAGGTGACTCTAGTTTGGTAGAAAAGGATAAGAAAAGCTATTTGGGACAATATAAAAGGTAAGATGATAGTAACAGCACCTTAAGAGGAAATAAAATTGCCTGAAAGTTGATTTTTTGGTGGTATAAACTTGAAAATAGAATTCAAATTCAATGTATGGTGGACTTAAGATACCACTCAAGGTCAACATCACCAAATATAACTAACTCTGCACAAATTTAACAAAAACGAAGCAATTTCCAATACTTGTTAAACGACTTAAAAGGGCACTACTATTATTCAAATTTTGTTGAAGAAATCACAACAGATTCATTCCAAAATAGTGTGTTATACGGCACAATTTGATGTATTCTGTTTTCAGATTCGTCTTTAATTTTTTCAACTCTGACATCTCCTCATTTTTATGTGGCTTTTCTTCTTACATTATTCGAACTATAGGAGCCCTTTATCGGAGAAATGCTGGTTTCTCGCTGGCTCATCCTTCAAGTTAGTCTTCTAAATACTGTTTTCAAAGGTGTCGTATTCAATTCTTGGACGACTAAGACGTCGTTCTGGATTGAAACAAAAAGCATCATTGAAAAACTGCCCCGTTCTTTTCGGAACCGGACAGCCAGATTTATTTTATTAAGATATTTCTAAACATTGTGCATTTATTTTTGTTATTTTGTAGCCAAGTCCACTGATTAAAACATTTCTATGCTTCATCTGCACTTTTAGATATTGACATATTTTACAAAATGTCATTTTGACAATGCTGCACTCGGAATTTCAGTGTGACGTTTATCAGAAGTGCTGTCGCCGATACGTAGAACACTACCTATTCTATTTGACCATATTTATTGCGCGTACTTCAACTTGTAATTCACTGCTCTAGTATTTTTATGGAGTAGGCACCTGACGGACGTTACTGCAATGCGTAGATTGTTCTTTTGACTCCGGTCCTGTATAATAACGCAGTCTCCTTATTCGCATCGCTAGCGAGTCGTGTGCGTAACAACGGTCGTTAACTACAGGGGATTCATAAATATGTAAATCGCGCCTCGTCGGAATCAGTGTCCCGCACAGGCGGGTGTTTTGGGTATTTTCTCTATCTTCTATAAAGCAAAGTGGCAAAGCTTGTCCTCCGAAGTTCAAACCTGAATTTTCGTGCCAAAGCTGTGGCGTAATCAGTTCCAGCATGGCGTAATTTTTTTCACTCCCTCCTTAGATTCTTGTTCTACTTTTGCCGTAATTTGTCGCCTGAGATTAGATGTCATCATTTACCTTTCGCTGATGGTTCAAAAATTTATATTAGTATCGTTACTTCCGAAGACTGCCATTTGCTTCAAAATAATTTGGAAATTATCAACACATTCTGTTCCAAAAACCTCCTCATACTAAATGTGTCATAATGTAAACTCTAAGACACAAAATGTTATGCTTTATGATGACTACACAATTAATCAAGTAAGGCTGGAAATGAGTAACAGTTATAAAGACGTAGGTGTTACATTTTTGATACCAAGGTCACTTTTGATGATCACATAACGTTACATCGCCTGCTTCTCGAATACTAATACTGTACTATAAACTGGTCAGGTTTCTCGAATGTTTAAATAATCAAGATCCTATATCTAGCATACGTCGTAAACAAGCTTGAATATGCATCGCTTATCTGGACATCTATCGTAATCTTTCAACGATGAGCTGAAAAATATATATTTTTCAAATGCAAGGTATTGCTCAAAACTTTTGATTGCAAACCACTTGACGTACGCCGAAGTATTTCCGCTCTGTCTTATTTATTCCACAATAAGATTAGTTACTGTCCATTTATACGAGTATTTTAAATAACCTAGGTCTTAAAGTCCCCCCCCCCCAGGTAAACGTTATTTTGCAACATTTTGCTGTGATTTCTGCCACACCAGTGTTTTGTCCAAGTGTTACGTTCATCGGAGGTGTACCCTAGCATTAGTGAGTGTGAAATATTCAATGACAAATCCCGCGTCATCAAACTTTACCTTGGTGAAGCTGTCAGGTGACATAGTTGTAGTCACCGTTCTTGGCGGTTACGTCAAGACTAATCTGCAAAGCATCTGTTACTCTCTCCAGTACATATAAAGTGGGTAACAGGATACTTCTCTTGTCATTCTCTTCCTGGAAATACTCTAATAAATTTAGCACGAGCTGTCGGCCTTCTCACTGATCGGATTTCCGGGCATTGGACAATTTTATATTGAAGATTGATAACAATACAACTCGAATTGCACGCCGAAGTCACCCTGACAAAATGATTGAAGAGCACTCATACGTAACGACAAAGTTTTCAAGACATTGTCACATTGTAACATTTTTTCCTCGAGGGCTTCATTAGAAAGATACGGGGTGTTAAAATTAATGTCTTCCAAACAGTCAACTGGAATGAACTAAAATTTGGTATGTGTATTTACCTAAGTATTGTCCACATTCAAAAGTCTTTACTAAAAATTAACCTGTACCAGTGGCGGAGATACGAGGAATTGGTGGCATTATTTGTCCAAGTAAAAAAGGTATGCGCAATTTGCTACATATAATTACTCTTGTATTTTTTCCTAGAGTGCACTGTTTTCGTAAAAATAAAAGTAAATCAAATTAGATCATTTACGAAGAGCTGAGATATAGTTAGTTTCAAAATAGAATAGGAGGCCTTCATACCAACTTGACGTTTCTTAAAAGTTATGTGTGTTTATGGTTACTACTACCATTTTTTTTTTGTAAAGTGAAAATTTTCTTTTTTCCATGAGTGAGTGTTGTAAAATGGAGTTTAGCAATGATGAGTACGCCGGTATTATTTTTGTGCACGGGTTCTGTAATAGAAATGCTTTACGGGTTTTCGGGAGTATTAACGTAGATTTCCTAACAGACACCAACCTACCTCAAAGGTTTTTACGCGTCTATTTCTAAGAATTCGGCAATATGGAATTGCCAAACTTACCGGAGTTAGAGGCCATGGTGTCCGGCATACTATTCAAGAGGAACTGGAGTTGATTAGTTTGACGTTGGACGATCCTAGTACAAGTACTAGGCGGATTGCAGTCCAGTTACCATGTTCCCAAAATGAGAGAATCTTAAATCTGGAAGTTTTACATCCTTATCACCGGCAGATGAACCGCCTTTTACGAGAAGTGGAACCTTTAGTTCTCAAAATGAACATAGTTAGTGGTTAGAAAATCCCCGTTCTGTGAGAATTCACTGCTTATGCACGTATTGCCACAACGTTTAATTGCAAGCTCATACTTGGCTTTTCTAGAGAATTGCATAGAAAATGTGTTAGATAATGTTCGGTTACCAACGAGTACGAATGTGGTATCAGCATAAAGGTGCCCACAGCCTGTTCGTCGTGGCATAACCGCAT